TAAGGGTCACAAAACTTTTATGATTATTTTTATGAAAGGTTTTTCATGATACCTAGTAGAAAACAGCAATGCTAGGTATCATAAAAAGTCTTTCATAAAATGGTCAGGAATGATTTGTGACCTTTAAATTACACTTATAATAAAACACCATATACTAATCAAGATAATTTAAGAATCATAAATTTTTCATGATTCTTTATATGATAAAATTTTAATGATCTCCAATATTTTTGTTTAACAAATTGAAAGATATTTTAACCTCGCCTTAACTCTGATCATCCTTTAAGGAGGGACACGGTCCTCCACGTCGCTGAAGGTTAGACTAATAAAAGGAAGGTGATCAAATCGATGTTTTCCATGTAAATCGAAGAAGCAATGAGTACACCTATGGCCTTACGTAATATCATGTCCTATGTATTGATGTTGTCCAAAATCATGAAGACAGCCTGAGCTATCTGGCCTATTCAAGTCCTCGCCGACGCAGATCACACGCTAAAAAAATAGAAAAAAAAAAATACCCTAATAGTTCTTGTACTTTAAAATTTGTATCACTTTAATTTTTAACTTTTCAATTATAACATATTTAATTATAAATTTTAAATCTTATTTTAAATAAAGATAATTGAACATATCAGTACTTAATTTCAAGAGTAAAATCGTTAATTTAATAAAATATAAACTAATTTGACAAAAATAAATGTCAAAAAAATATTTTAAAATTTTTAAAAATTATTTCTACTCACCAAAGATAAAATTATATAAAATTGATAAAAATTACATGATTAATTTTTAAAAATTAATTTTACATGATCATCATCCAAATGCATAATAAAAATTAATTTGGTAAAAAAAAAAATAAATGTTTAAAAGATTTATCAATTTCATATAATTTTATCTTTAATATGTAAAAATAATTTTAAAAAATTCAAAAATAATTTTTTGACATTTATTTTTGTCAAATGAATGTGATATTGTCTTATTAGGTTAAAAAACTTATTTTGTTTTTTGTGGCTATTTTAGCCAAAATAGCCTTCGAACCGACTTCCCGAACAGAAGCTTAGTCTATTTTGTCCTTTGGTAAGCTATTTTAGCCCAACTCCTTCCCAAACGAGGCCTAAACTTCATTTTTTTCAAAAATGTTTTCCTGAATGCTATTTTCAAATGGATGAAGTATCAATAAATCCAAAAATTGTAATCTTATGAACTATTTAGTCATCTATTTTTTCTTATGAACCCAAATGTCTCATTAAAGTAAAACTTACATAAAAAGGTAATTACTTACTCATTTTGGTTTTATTTTTTAGGGATAAAAATGAGTCTCTAAATGTGAAATTACACATTTGGACAATCCACACTACAGAGGTTTTGGATCTTCCCTTCCTCTAGAACAAATCACACATCACAAATAAGAACAGAACACTCTAATTTAACACTCAAATAACGTAACACTGTAACATAACACATTAAAAAACTCCATAGTTTACTTTTTCCAAACGTAACAATGTAACACTAAAAAAAAACTTCTTCCAAACTTAACACTCAAACGTAACACAAAAAAAAAAACCCCTTAGTATACTATTTTTTTCAAACGTATCACCCTAATCAATGTAATCCTAAGCATGACACTCCAATGTAACAAAAAAAAAAATATACTAAAAAATTATTTAGTATACTTTTCCAAACGTAATTTTCATAGTTTGAAATTATATATTTATTTAAAACTTATTAAGAAATTTTTGTACTCCTTTAGAATATTATATTAGAGTGTTACGTTTGAGAAAAGTATACTAAATATTTTTTTTTTGAGTGTTACATTAAGATTTTTTTTTAGTGTTATATTGAAATATTACATGGGAAAAGTACACTAAGAATTTTTTTGTGTATTATATTGGAGTGTTACGCTAAAAACTTTTTTTGGAATGTTATATTGGAGTATTACGTTTGAAAAAAATATAATTTTTTTGAAGTGTTACAATAAAGAGCTTTTTTAGAGTGAAATATTAGAGTGATATGTTTGAAAAAAATACAATAGAGAGTTTTTTTGAAATATTGTATTAGAGTATTGTAGTTTGAAATTATACATTTACGTTTACCCAAATCTTACTAAGAAATTTTTGTACTCATTTTGAAATATTTGAAGAATCTCATATTCTTTTGAAATGTTTGAAAAATCTCATATTTCAAGTCATTTTTGTACTTATTTTGAAATGCGAAATTTATGAAAAATCTCACGTTTTAAGTCATTCAAAATATAAAAGATTCCTATATAAAAATTCATCCAAAATTTAATTTACATACATTACGTATCTTACCTTTCTAGTAGAAAAAAAAAATGAAGAATGAAACATAATATAAATAAGGATATAACTGTAAATTTAATTTTCAAATAATATATTAAATCTATCTTTTCAAAATCAATGTATAAAAAAAAATTTGAGACTAAATAAATCACCATTTCTCGAGATTAAATTTATAGATAAATTTTCTATTTTCAAGTCTCCTTACCAAATATTTACTTTAGGGACAATTTTAGGGTATTAAAAATGCTTGACACCCCCCAAAGTTAGGGATCCTATGTGGATCAATCATGTATTTTTTTTTTTCTTTTCTGGACCAATCACTGATAAATAGATTTTGTGAGATTGTGTTTTTTTTTTTGGAATCTCTTGCATTATTGTTTGTGGTATTGATAACTTTTCCGCCTTCACTGCCTGGAAAACTCGCCACCTGTCCCACGAGCACCACTATTCTCACTGCCTGCAAAATTTTACCATACGCAAAACTCTGCAATTTGAACAATTTTAATCTGAACAACTCGAATTCAATATGAACATTTTTAGTACTTGATCGGGGTTTACGATAAAAGTTGTCAAAATCCAAATGAAATTTGAACAGGCTTAAGCATGAGTTTTCACAACTCGAGTTGCCCAGTCAACCCAAATTCAAACAACTCAAGTTTATTCTAAAATTGTTTATAACTTGTTAAATAGTAAAATTTCAAATTTGATCAAGGTCTAAGATAAAATTTGTCAATCCAAATTAAATTTGAACATAGCCTGAGCATGAGTGTTTGTAACTGCTTTAAAATGATACGTCCAAAATATATCCAAAGCATTTTATAGCATAAATTTTCTGTGTAAAATTTATGTTTGTATATTACCATTTAAGAAAATACACACTCAACCATTTTTTTTTGGAGACTTGTGCAGAAACAAGTTGCAAAAAATTTGTGAGCTTCTCAAAATTCCGACTTTATCCTCCCAACAACAAACCAAATTACCAAACTATCTTTAGATAGAAAGGCAAATTACACTAACAATTATTGTAGTTTGCGACTTGTTACTTTAATTCTTAACTTAACTTTTAAATTGTGACATATTTAACTATAAATTTTGAATCTTATTTTAAATAAAGACAATTGAACATACTATTACTTAATTTTAAGAGTAAAATCGTCAATTTGATAAAATATAAACTAATTTGACAAAAATAAATATCAAAAAAATATTTTAAAATTTTTAAAAATTATTTCTACCCACCAAAGATAAAATTATGTAAAATTGATAAAAATTACATGATTAATTTTTAAAAATTAATTTTACATGATCATCATCCAAATGCATAATAAAAATTAATTTGGTAAAAAAAAAAATAAATGTTTAAAAGATTTATCAATTTCATATAATTTTATCTTTAATATGTAAAAATAATTTTAAAAAATTCAAAAATAATTTTTTGACATTTATTTTTATCAAATTAATTTATATTTTATCAAATTGACAAATTTACCCTTAAAAAATCCAATAGTATCTTAAATTATCCTTATTTGAAACAAAATTTAAAATTTAAGATTAAAGATGTCACAATTGAAAAGTCAGGCACCATAGTGACACAAACCCCAAATTATAAAGACCATTGTTATAATTCACCCAAAAAACAACAAACAAACAAACAAACAAACAAACAAAAACAAAAAAAAAAACAAAAATTCTCATCTGATTCCCACAAGTAGCTTGACCACCTTACTCGTCATAAAACATGAACCGTAAACATTAGTCAGAAGGCTCTTGATTGGCCAGGGTTTGGAAGAATCAACCCCGGTACAGAGGCCGAATATAGGGGCTCGAATTTGGCTCGAAATTAAGGGGAAGAAGGAGGAGGAGGAGAAGAAGGAGAAGAAGAACTGGATTGGAGGGGCCAACAAAATAGGGCAGAGGTGGAGGTTGAGGCGGAGGCAGAGGCGAAGGCGGGGCTGCGATGCCGACGAGCGATAAGCTGCGACGATCGGCCGACGAGCTGCGACGACGACGACGTTGACGACGACTCCTTTGTTTCTCTCTCTCGTCTCTGCTCTTCTCTTGTGTTCAACGAAGAAGAAGAAAAGAAAGAAAGAAAAGGAAGAGAAAGAAAAGGAAGAGAGAAAAAAAAAAATTGAAACCCAAAACGACGTCGTTTTGGGTTTCGAGCCAAATTCGAGCCCCTAATTTCGGACCCTCAAACGTTATAGTGGAAGAATGTGGTTATAGAATTTTGGTGGCCAGAGCGATTTGCTTGGTCAGGCTCAACCAAGATAAGACAGACGCAAACAAGTGATTATACATAGTTTTCAGGTTCATTTTCATCTTTCTTTGTCTTTCCATTCACTCCCATTCGGTAACCTGTTCATGATATACTATACCAAGGCAGCTCATCATTTAGTTCTAATATACCTCTGCCAGTACTATTAAAACACAAACCCCCCCAAAAAAATGTCATTACAGAGATTCCAATCCTTCCTCTCTAAAATCCTCCGATGAACTGAAAAAACTACCTCCTAAAAGTATATAATCACCACTTGATCACCCAGGTTTGATGCTTGGGAATAGCTTGGACCATCCCCAATGGCCCACAAATAGTTTTCCCTACCTTGCTATGTCAGTAACAAACAGAACAAAAACATGAAAATTGGATTCATCAATAATAAAGGAAAAGGTGTTCTCAAAATAATAATAATAATAAAGGAAAAGGAAAACAGAACACAGAAGACACTCCCTTAGAATTTTGCTAGGTGCAAAATGTAATAATGCATGTCAAGTTGTTCGAATGGAAATATATATACAACTAACATCTAATTCGGATCTTTACAACAATTGCTCAAACACAATTTAACTTCCACAATTAACCCACAACAATTGAAGGAAAAGCGAAGATGACAATATTCTAAAAACCTGTCATTGGCGAGAAATTCATTTTGCGCAACAATAAAAGAATAACAATGATAACCTTAAAGCAATTGTGGTCTGGTGCAACAAACTCCAAACAGTGCTCATCATGGTATAGCAGTTCTCATGGAGTCTCATATTCACTGGCGGATTCCAGATGGTGCATGAAGCCTCTCAAACTTTCAACAAGCCAGACATGTTATTATCTGTGTGAAAAATCAAATAACTGCAATCCGTTGGATCAGTAATGTGACCTGAGGCTTCTCTGTTGCAAATAAATAGTGATGGACGGAGCTGTTTCAAGAGAAAAGACATGAGTAAGCAAAAATGATAACACCTACTTGGCGGAATACCCGTAATTTATTTGGGGTCACACGTAAACTTTTTAAAGACTGGAGTGAAAATATAGTTCCATATTTTCTTTTCTTTTCTTTTTTTGTTTTGTTTTTTAGTGCAATATTTTGAAATATGTCTTCTTTGCACTGTGGGTCAACTAAGCAATTTTATATCCTCTCTATCCATATATACTGCATGCGTTGCCAAAGAGAAGAAAGTAAAAAGAGGCGGGACTTGTGAGTGTACTATGTATGTATAATAAAAGGATTACAACAAATATCCTAAGACTAAATGATGAACAGAAAGACTGCCAAAGATTCTTTCATGACAATTCCCAAGACAGAACATATAGAGAAAATTTGAAAACCTGTTAGTCAGCAACATATGCTGAGAACAAATTTCTATGACACAGCAATTGTGGTGCTTGAATCTTACAAATTCTTTAATAACAAAATTAACCATTACCTCCATTATCTTCAACACTTTATAGTTCATGCGAGCTATTAAACCCGTCGACCAAAATTGTACGGAGATGATGAGCCCGAGGAAGATGGAAGTGGCCTCCTAACATATGGATGATCCAAAAGATCAGCAGCAGTGGGGCGATCATTTGGTTTAACTTGTAGGCATCTAAAGATGAAATCCCGTGCATCTCTAGAAAGAGAATCAGGAACAGGTGGTGGCACACCCCTTCCAATCTGGAACAATGCCTGCATCTGCTTAATCACAGAGTAAAGATATTAATTATTAAAATAACAAACAAAAATTGCTGTAATGTTGCAATTTCCTGGAATAACTAATGGACTATGATATAATATACCAAACCAAAATAGCTGTCATGTGACCACAACAATTTTGGTCAAGTAAACATTGGTTATGTGAGGAAAGAACATCTAGAAACAGCAGATGTAAAAAAGCACACAAATAAATTCTCACTGAATAATCCATCGAGCAAGTCAATTAACCACATAGCATCTAATTCCTCATATCCCCTGCTCTCATATGTTATCATTAGTGGATCACAAATTATACAGGGAGTATTTTCGGCCTTCACAATAAAAATAAAAATAATAATAAAAAAATAAAATGTATACAAGAAACAAACTTCAACTCAAAACATTAGCATAATACTGAAATTTTAATGTTTCCACCGAAACACAACACACTACAAAACATATAAAAATATAAGTTGTTTTGGATGCCTATTAGGAACATCCAACAATATTGATTTCCTAAGAAGCGGACACGGAGAAGTGACACAACAACAAAATTAAAAAATAAACAAAAATACAAGACACAACACATGGGGAACACACATTGTGTACTATGCCAAAGGTAGGTGTGTACTCAATCTTTCCCTCCTAAACATACATTAATGTGTACTAAGTAGACGGTTTTTTTATATATTTATCATGTGACATGTATATGAATATATCATTCAAAGATAGTTTTTGTTTATTTTTATTTTTTTTTAAATGCAACATAACAGTTTCTATAAATCTTCATAGTCTTCTCTTATCATTGTATCCTAAGCGAAGCAGCACAGACGTACACATAACACAAGGACAAGTACAGGACATAATCCAGGACACGATATGCCTAGGACACATTAAAATTTTATATTTCTATAAATTAATTATGTCAGAATAATTTATTCAAAGGTAATGAAAAAGGTAACATAATTGATGATACTAATTAAAATTTTTAAAAAAAACATCAAGGTATTATTTACGTAGCAATTTGCATATAATGTAAAATAATTATAAAACATTGAAATACACATGATATTTTCATCATATAAATGTTTCAAAACAAATTTAGAGTGCACAAGTTGCATTTTGAAGAATGCATAAAATTATTATTATGAAGAGATTTATCACATAGATCATGTTCAAAAGGTTCACAAAGTGTCTACAAATTATTTGTATGCCCGCTATTATAAATTTAACTTTAATAAGTCACATTGAAGAAGTGTCGTACACTCTTTTAGGAGTGTCTATAGAGTGTCAATGTCCAACGTGATATGCTCCCTCTATGCAAAGTGTCTATGCTTCTTAGAACATACTAAAGCAGTTGTACTTCAAAATGATAGGGTGTTTGGTTTCACTTTCCAGATTATCAACTTATTTGCATTTTCAACTTAAAAAGCTCAAAAAACTAACTTTTTAAAGTTGGGCTTTAGATATGTTTTTTAGGGTAGTTTTTTAAATTTATTATTAAAGATAAAATCACCTTATTTAAATTTTACCAAACAGAGCCTTTATCTTCTTTTTCCCCAAAATACAAAAAGACAAAAAGAAAGAAAAGTAGTTATTGTTTATAAAGTACTGCTTTATATTCACACTGTTCATATCCACCAAACTGTATCACAAAGATTAGATATAATCAAGTAAAAGAAGCTGAGTTCTGTTGAAAGAACCAGATCTCACCAAGTAAACATCGCAAACTACTAAACATGAATCTGACATAGAACCACAAGAATAAATCAGGTCATATAAATTTTCAGTGAATGTTTGAATAAAACATCAAAATTCAGAGGAACCTAGTTCAGGCTAGCTTCTTTTAAGAATTTAGTCCATTTAGAATGACCTAGAAGCCTTCAGTTCTAGTCAGGCAAAGAATAATACAAGCCAATCTGAAATGAAACGTGGCGTAACAAAAAAATCTACTCTAACACACAAAATCAAAGTTGTGCAGATTTCTCCATAAAGCAAAGGCATGGAAGAGCTTTTTTGAAGAAATTATAACAAATGTGTTACATACAGATTCTAAATTAGCGTATGGAATCTGACGGGTCAACATCTCTAAGACAGTGCACCCAAGGCTCCATATATCTGCTGGAAGCCCATACCCCTGGTCATTCCGTTTAACAACCTGCAAAGGTAAAAACTTCGACATTCAGAAAGGATTTTGTCTGTCTATTTGCCTCTCTCTCTCTCTACATATGCATATATTATAGTTTAAATCTGTATATGAGTAGATGCACACATAAATATATATCTAATATCTACACGTGCATATTACCATTTTCCATTTTCGTTCTAGATGGTTTGTTAAAATAATGATCATACCTTACTTTCACTTCGTATGTCATCAAAGTTACCATGGTACCACTATATAATATAAATCAATAAACATACTTATTTTATCTCTTTTCACGCTGCAACTTATTATTAGTATCTATTACGTCCTACACAACATTCTATTCAATTTATTTACTTTGCTCAGTATTAATTTCCATTCTGCCTCAACAAATAATTTAAAACCACAAACTTCCTATTTCTTTATAAGTAAAATAATAGTTATAACTACAAACTTCCCATTAATTATGTATATACTCATCTCATTTTTCACCCTTAGAGCCTGAGATCAGAATAACAATTATATCCTGCGTAAAATCTATTATATCTTCACTTCTCTCCAATCTTATACAGAACAAGGATCTGATATGAATTCTATATTGGTATCACAATCAATAGTGCATTGAGTCATTGACCTATTTGAGTAAACACAGCTTACACACTCCTATAAGCTAATATTTAGAACCATTTTTCAATGTGATGATGCAGCTGTTAATCATCAATCCAACTGGGACCCATGCTTCACATGTATGCATGAAGTCCTAATCTAATCTAATCTAATCCAATCAGGAAAAGAAGGGTTCCAGTTTAAGGCAAACCTCAGGTGCCATCCAATATGGAGTCCCCTTGCAAGATTTGATATCATTTAACTTAGTCGCCTGCACAAGGGTATCAACCAAAAACATTAGCAAGAAGAAGCAAATGGAAGTAAACAACATCAGGAACTATAAGAAAGAAGATGATATTGCAATCTGAAATGGGGAAGGGAGGACCTTTGCCAATCCAAAATCTGCGAGTTTAACAGATCCATTAGCATGCACCAATATATTAGCACATTTTATATCCCTGGAAGACAAGAAAGGAAAAGATAAGACTTTGGGAACCTAACTATCTTTATATCCATGAGTTCACAGGCATATAGAGAAATTGAAAAATGGAGATGGAAAAAAGTTTGTGAGTGTTTGGGAAGTGGGTTTTTATGTAGGTTTTTTAGTTGTAGGATATTATTAGATAAAAAAATTTTGGTGTTTGGGAAGATAGTTGAGTTTTTTTGTGGTTGGATGTGATGTTTGTGAGAGAAAAAGTGAAATGATTATAGGGTTGGATGTGATACTTTGTTTGGATTGTTTTTTTTAGTTTTACAAAAAGTTTGTCTTTTAGTGTAAAAAATAAAAAAAAATCCAACCCACAAACTTCCCAAACACCTGTCTAAGCTCTGTAAGATTGGTAACAAGATAAAAACACATAAATAAAAAATTTAAAAAAAAGGCAAACAATTAAACAAATTAGCGAGCTTCAGGAGTTTTAAGAAGGAAAGAAGTAGATATGACTAGACTATTACAATACAGATACATGTTTCATATCTTGATCAGCTGCATTGAACTCTGTTTAAACTTAATATTTGGACCACAATCTCACTAACATTTTTTCCCAACTTAATCTAGTGATTTAGAAAGTTCATTATCCTTTCATCTTTTGCTGGGAAAAAGTATGAAGACAATCAAATTCAAACTATGGATTTTGAGATAAACATAGACATGCATGGCAGGTCAAGAAACCAACAATTTAGGCATGTCAAGTTTAGTTGTATCACCTGTGAACCACATTTCGCTCATGAAGATACTTCAGACCATGCAAAATCTGCCTTGTGTATGAGGAGACTATAGAATCTTGAAGATTATACTTCTGATAGAGACTTAAAAGGGAACCTTTGGTTACCAGCTCGAGAAAGATATACAGATTTGATTCATCCTGCAAAGGCCATTTTTGTAGAAAATAAAATTTAGATGTTATTATCCATTAGTTGCAAGATAAAGACATATGTATTTGTTATCCAAGATTTGCTAGGTGTAATATTTGAAAACAAATATCCACAGCAAGCGTAACTACTACCAAACATGTACCGTAATTAATCAGAAAATTGATGTGTAGGAGGCCTTAAATCTTACAAATCAAAATAAGGCATCAAAAAATGGATTTGGCTAGGTTGCTCGCAAACTCGATGTATCATCTAGTTTGTCTATGAGAAACCCATGATCTGCAAACACTGGCATCAGTGCCATGTACTAACATAATCACAAGGGTGTTTAACACATTAACTCCACAGTGACTAGAAACAGGTTCACCGCTATATGTTTTTTAATAAAAAAGAGAAAATTCTATTTATGCAAAGAAAAAGAAGATAAGGAATTCTTCTAGCCCAGGAAAATAAAAATACGGCACAGTAGTTCCCCAAAAGAAAACCCAAGGGAGCATGCAAATCTTGGATATTTTGGAAAGAAGATGAAGTTATGGTAAATTTGCCCTATACCTTATATTTCGAATTAATTTTTGGATAAAAGACAGTTTTAGTCCCTAAAATATGTGTTTTTTTCATTCTAGTCCCTTAAGTTTCAATTTTGTCATTTTGGCCCTCAAAGTTATTAATTTGAGTCAATTTGGGCCTAGGTCTAACATCCGCCTACATTGATAACATAAATATGTATAAAAGACAGTTTTGGTTTCTAAAGTATGCATTTCTTGTCATTTTAGTCCCTCAATTTTTAATTTTGTCATTTTAGTCCTCAAAGTTGTCAATTTGAACCAATTTGGTCCTAGCTCAAATTGACAACTTTGAGGACTAAAATGACAAAATTTAAAACTTAAGGAACTAAAATGACAAGAAACTCATATTTTAGGGACCAAAACTGTCTTTCACTTAATTATAAAATATTTTTCCCGTTATCAATGTAAATGGCCGTTAGAAATATGACCAAATTGATTCAAATTGACAACTTTGAGGACCAAAATGACAAAATTGAAACTTGAGAGACTAAAATGACAAATAATGCATACTTTAAGGACTAGAACTGTCTTTTATCCTTAAGTTTTTCTCATGTCAACTTTAATTTTTGGAGCATGTAACACAAATTCTGTCGATTTGGACGAAATTATTGACAACGGGGAGGTAATTGCAAAATGGCAAAAATCATGAGGGGTAATTGGCTATATTTAAATAACGGCAGTGAAATGCTCAGGTACTAAACCACATGGGGGTAAAATGGATTTTGCCCTCAACTATTTTTGTTAACCAAAATACCTGCTCTTTATCTTAGCATTTCCAAGCCTTAATAGGTATACAACATGGCCCTATATATACACTAATCGTTACATGGAGGGCAATGGAAAGAAAGAACAATTTTTCTTTGTCACATTTCAAAGTTTTGACAATTCATCTCCAATTCCATAAATCTCAAAGGAGATGGAGAAACACTATAAACTAGACTCTACCTCATATATGTCATGGCCAACTGCCCCAGTTAAGTTTAAGAAGAGACAACATGCCATATATATTTGTGAAATCGTTTTACCAAATAGTGAATCGTGAATCGTAAGATTCATTTTATTTAATATGATATATAATTATATATATATATATACACAGTGTTTAAAATAAAGTAAATTATCAATATGACTACATTATATATATGTATATACATATAAAATCATGTATATCGATACAACTGATTAATCTCTTCTATATATTTTCACAGTTTGGCGAAAATGATGTCATTTCATATATTATGTAAACTAAAATAGATATAGAACTGAATCGCAGTGAATCATAAATTGAATCATACGATTCACTCAATTTTCTGATTCAACAACACGATTCGAATTGTTTTTGTTGAAACTCGTATCGAATCATGTGAATTGAATCATGAATCGAACAATTCTAACAACCACGTAGGTTAGAAAAATCTGAGAGAGAATCAACCACTAGACAACATGGAAAGTAAGAGTACCTTATCTGTGCCATAATATCGAACTATGTTCTCATGCTCAAACTGACTAAGAAGAGCAATCTCCTGAATAAAACATGATAAAACAAAACACAGGGGATGAGAAGAGTCTCCACAGAAATCATTTATCAAAAACCTGTAGTAGATAAATTAGGGGAAAGCACATTGACAACATCCACAAACATAAAGCAAAGATTTTTCTCACCTGTTCAAGTTGGGAAATGCTTTGCCTTCCCTGGTCTCCTTGATCAAGCAAAGAAACTTCCTTCACAGCAATAAAGACACCTCCACTGCAAGATGACACATAATAAATCATAAGTTTAACAGGTATACAGAAGTCTAGCTAAAAACATTAATGTTTGTAAAGGTACAAAGAGAACTCAGGAATTAGAATTAATTTGAAAACATGGTGATGTAGCACCAGAAGGCAGTGAAGTAGAAAAACAACAAAAGAAAAGAGGGAAGAAGGGGTCACAAACCCAAATCAAATATCTTAATCTCACTTAATCAATTATCAATATCCATTGTCAAGTCTGCTAAAACATCAAAGAAAGGCCATATATATTGGCAAACCAAACTAATCCTAGACAAACTCAACATCCTAACTAAAAACTCCTAAATAAATAAAATTTCTAGATAAATAAATTCCTAATCTAACTCATATGTTCTTATCATTTCTCCCATGGCGTAAAAAATTCTTCTTCAGAGGGTTGTAATTGCTTCACGAAGTGGCACGGCTGGCTTTATGAGCAGAGCAGAAACGACAGTTATGGCTTTGAGGGTTGAGGGTACTCATCATGGCAAAGATCTTGTGTGGCATAATTGTTGTCAAATTGCGAATCGAATCGTGAATCGTAAAATTCATTTTATTTAATATGATATATAATTCTATACATTTGAATACATGTAAAAATACATACAATGTTTAAAATAAAATAAATTATCAATATGACTAAATTATATATATACGTACAAAATCACGTATAACAATATAACTAATTATTTTCTTCTATATATCTTCATGGTTTGGTGAAAACAATGTTCTTTCATGCATTATGTAAACAAAAATAGAAATAGAACTAATTCGCAATCATAATGAATCATAGTGAATCACAATGAATCGTAGTGAATCATACAATTCACTCAATTTCCAATTCAACAACACGATTTCAATCGTTTTTGTTGAAACTCGTATCGAATCGTATGAATCGAATAGTGAATGAATCATACGATTCTAACAACCATGGGCATAAGGATACATCCAGATTAGCGAACTTCATTGGGCTTTGTTCCATGGTACGATTGCAAAGATTATGAGGTGATGGTGGACTTAATTTTTTTTCTCTCTCTGCTAGACTTGCTTCTTTTTTTTTCTTCTTTTATGCTGGTTAACTAAGATCTGGATTCAGTTCAATGGGTTGGTCACAGGTTGGGCTGTGCAGGTCTAATAGATTCATTTCCAAAGTCTCTTGTCATTGCTCTAATGTTTTCGAAATCTTTCCATTTTCAAGCTAATTGAACAACATAACAAAAAGAAATTTTCATCCTTACCCTAATCCACATAAGGTGGCTTGATTAAGCAACAAAACTTTAAAATTCATAAAAATAAAAACCGCCTCCTTGCCCCACTTACTAGTTCACTTGATGCCGAACAATATGGTGTTTAATATCTCAAATTCTCTCACAACCATCGGTATCCCTTTTCCCACATACTAGGAAGGTAATATGAAGCCTACCATAATAAAATAAATAAGTTCATTTTGCATCCAAGGGAATTCAAGCTTATGGCTGCTTGAGATATTCCAATTACAATAGAAGAGAACAAGAAGTTCCCTCTTCTTTGGCATATTAATTAGGTCTAAGCCTGACAAGAGGGCATCGAGTTTTACAAATACAAGAAAATGATATTGAAACCATCGCTTGATTATAGAAACACACTACTCAAAATAAGAAACAACCAAAATCAACCCTTTGTTAGAAATGTGTTGCCATTCTCATAAAGTGGTATACATTACATACAAATAAATGGACTCCAACTCTCTGATATGATGGACATTCTCTGTGAAAATTTTCTTGTACGGAATTTAGAAGGAAAGCCTCTAACGAGAAAGAAATCCATGCAAAGTCCAAATTCACATGCATATTCAATTAAAAGTGATAACCATGAATATTGAATAATGGGTTGCAATTTCGCAACTCACGCCATGCATGTGCAACACATATAATGTCTAATGAATGCAAAAGAAAGGAACTTTTTTATATCCACACACCAGTCAGTAAATTTATCCTAAATTTTCAAATTTCCATTGCCTCCAAATTCACTTAAAATCAAATTTGTCAAACCCCAGAAACAAATTCACATCCAAATTCAAAGTCTGTCACTCAACAGTTAACACATTAATCTAAAAATACTAAAATTACTAATAAGGAAAATAATGTGAATAGCACTTACTCAGCAATGCCTTCGTACACGGATCCAAACGACCCACGGCCCAGAAGCTGACCCTTTACCCAGTCCCCAACGATGGAACTAAATCTATCATTTGGCGAAATGTTCGACAATCTATCATTTGGCGAAATGTTCGACATGCCCTCCGTCGTGAGACTCCAACAATCATCATCATTCGTGGTCGTAAACGAACTTGACTTAGAATGAACAGCAGTCTCTCGTCTCTCTCCCAACATAACCCCATTTAATCTCTTTTGCTCAACTATCTCTTCTTCATCATCGTCAGAAGAACTGTACTCTCTTGCAGAAGACAAATCAATATTAAAATCCGGAGCAAAAGACTTCAAAATATCCCAAGTTGAGCACGAATTGTCCATACGTGGCAACGAAATTGACGGCGGCGGAGCAAGAACATTGTCCAGACGTGGCAACGAAATTGACGGCGGCGGAGCAAGAACAGGTGGGCGAACACCCTTAATTCCACCTCCGCAACTCCGAGAAGTCTTAGCAGTAATCGGATTATCCATAACTTCACTAACCCTAGCACTGTCTCCAAATTTATCTGACAATTCACAAACCCTAACACTGTCTCCAAATTTATCAGACAATTCACAAACATCAACAGATTCATCATTAACCCTAACCCTATCTGCAAATCCATTAGACAATTCATTAGCCCCACTATCATTATCATCAACTTTCGGATCAGCCCTAGGGCTTTCCAGATTCCGAAATCCCGAAATTGGATGAAGATCAGATGAAGATAAGCGGAGCTTCCTCGCCTCCCACGCCGCCGCTGGAATCGCGAAATCTTCGGGCCCGCTGAGCCCTAGACTCTTGCAAATCAATTCGAATTCGCCGTCATTACCTTGAACTCTGAAGCTAGTTACGTGCCCTAAAGGCGACAAATCAAGCGATCGAGTTCGGTGAGCCGGCGAATCCTCCGACGCCGGCGATGACGCCAACGACGACGATGATGATGACGAGGGTTCGTAGTCTATGTTCTTGTTCGCGAATCGACGCTCGAGCTTGGGACGACTCTTCTTCTTATTCTTCTTCCAGTCCATGCTCTTTTGCTTCTCGCTATGAGTGAAGAATCGAGGTATGCGATACATTGAGAGCTCGACCCATCCAAGTCCGTACCTAGCAATTTGATCGGAGAAAGCAGCGAAGTTGAGAAGATTCGAAATGATTTTCTGTGAAAGCTGTAAATTTGTGAGAAAATTTACAGAATATGACTAGATCCAGAGGACGAGAAGGGGGACCCAGTTTGGAGACGAAATGGTTGAGGAGAGAGGGAGAGAGAGTCGTGTAAGACTGACAGAGACTAGTAAACGCCGTCGGAGGAGAGAGAAAACGCGGTGGCTCATAAATATCGTCTCGCCGTTGTACAATACAATTTCTGGGAAAATTACTATTACCAGTCAAAATACAAACATAGGTAAGTGGTGAGGTCACCAATGGGTAGCGATGGCCACCTGTAGCGTAGAGTATGTAGGTAAGTGGTGAGGTCACCAATGGGTAGCGATGGCCACCTGTAGCGTAGAGTATGGGGCTGCCGGGTAGGGCAGCCGAGGATCCGAATTCGCCTCTTATCCAACTTCATCCAATCTTTGCCGCTTGCTCTCACTCTAGACTCTATTCTTGTGAGAAAATGGGTCATTGTTGTACTCAAAGCACAATAGTAATTATAATATTTTTATTTGAAGTGTATTATGATTTTATTTTTATGATTTAAACCGTTCATATTGTAAGGTTTATTGAGTACTTCATGCATATCAAAAATCATATTAATCGGATATCAACAACTATATGATTGATAACCAAAAAAATAAATAATAAGTTTTTCTTTTGAAAAATAACATAAACAATATGCGATTCGATCATATAGTTATTGATATCCGATTAATATGATTTTTGGTAGGCATGAAGTACTCAACAAACTCTACAATATGAACCATTTAAATCATAAAAATAAAATCATAATACACCTCAAACGGAGGCATCACAGTCACTATTATGCTTTGAGCACAGCAGGGACCCATGTTCCATTCTTGTGAAACTCTCTCTCACACTCACTCAAACTCGTAAATTTTAAGGCTTCTTTAGAAAGTTTGGTTGGTTTTTTTTTTTTTTTTTTAAATATTATTTTAGTTCCGATTAAAAAGTTTATTTAGCCCTCGTTTGGAAACTTTTCATTTTAGTCAAAAAATCAAAAAATTATTAAATTAGCTAAAAAGTCAACAACTCATACCAAAAAGTTAAAGATTATCTTTTCTCTCTACTTTTTGCACATCTTTTCGTAAAAAGCCAAAAAGTCATCCCAAACATACTAGTTTTTTTTAGTTACTAAATTAGCATGTTTCCAAATGAGGCCTTAGTTTGATTTTTTTTAGTTTTTTAATTTTTGTAAAAAAAAAAGATTATAATTTAAATGTAACATTTTATTTTATAAATTTTTTAACTTATTTTGTTTTTGTGACTAATTTAGCTACAAGATTACAAAAGCTTACATCCCAAACAACACCATAATCTCCACTCCCCACCTTATTAGATCCGCAACATAGTCAAAAATTTAACAATAATATTAAATTTTAATAATTAAAACTAAAAATGTTATTTACAATTAAAAAAAAATATCTATATAATATGGCAAGAGAGTTTTTGAAAATGTCCAAAATATATCAAAGATATATTTGGTTTCAATAGTTGAGATGAATCTTAAATATATATCAATGGTTCAGATTAATGGATGTTTCCTGCCCAAACACTCCTCTCTGTAAGCATCACAAATGATTTGCCTCTCCATTTACTCGTCCTTCTCCTTACCTTTCCTCTCTCTCTCTCTCTCTGTGTTTAAACATTTTTTTGCCCTCCCTCAGCTTTTGCCTCTCATATCTCGAATTCGGATCCTCGGTCGCCCTTCTCGGCGGCCCTTTCCTGTAGCCCCCAAAACAACGTCGTTTTGGGGGTAAATTTTCAAAAAAAAAAAACGCAGAGGAAGAGGGAGGAAGGAGCAGAGGAAGAGGGAGGAGGGAAGAGGGAGGAAGGAGAAGGGAGGAAGAGGAGGAAGGGAAGGGCTGGACTGGAGGGGGCCATAATCACAGGTTAAACCCAAAAAGATCAAAATGTACAGGAAACCAACCTAAAAAGATCAAACCTTACAGGAAACCAACCTTACAATTGAGCAGTTGGAGTGGTCGGAGTGATGACCGAGTTGCCGGAGTGAGGTCTAATGAAGCCAGAGAGAGAAATGGTTAGACAGAGATATGAGGGGTTCGGATCCTCGGTCGCCCTTCTCTTTTTTTTTGAAAATTTGCCCCCAAAACGACGTCGTTTTGGGGGCTACAGGAAAGGGCCGCCGAGAAGGGCGACCGAGGATCCGAACCCCTCATATCTCTGTCTAACCATTTCTCTCTCTGGCTTCATTAGACCTCACTCCGGCAACTCGGTCATCACTCCGACCACTCCAACTGCTCAATTGTAAGGTTGGTTTCCTGTAAGGTTTGATCTTTTTAGGTTGGTTTCTTGTACGTTTTGATCTTGTTGGGTTTAAAATGGGTTTGATCTTTAAGTGATAAAATGGGTTTATTGGGGCTTAATAAACCCAGAAATTGAACATTTTTTTTCAGAGCATATTTTTTGTTCAAGGCATTTTTTTTTTCTTTCTATCGTAGACCATGCTCTGTTTTTTTCAAAGAGTTTTTGTTGCTCAATGGTTCAATGTTCTAAACTTTAAAAGTGATATGATTTGGGTTTATTGGGACTTAATAAACCCCAAAACCGAACCAAATGAAAGCGTTCAGAGTTTTTGTTACTCAATGGTTCAATGGTTCGCATGTTGAATTAATGTATATATATACACACACGAATTTTTGTTGTTGGGTGTATGTAGGCACCATTATCATAAACTGAACCAGTTTGGTGATTTGCATTTTGATTTGGGCTTTGTTGTTATTTTGATAATACGTGGGTTTTTAGTATTGATTTTTTTTTTTTTTTTTTACATTGTTGTTTAATGTAATTTCCCGAAGAGTAGATAAGCACTATCATAAAAGTAATTTTTAAAAAACTAGTGTAAGTCAACTCATGAACTGCTCTGTTGCCAGTAAATTAGATGGTTTCATCACATATAGTTAAATTTGTGAATGGTCTTGGGTTACGTCCTATTAAAGTGTTGATCTTAATTTCATATTTGTTTTGTTTTTGTGTTACAGTTTGATTTTAATTAGTCTACATTATGCTACAGTTTGATTTCATATTTGTTTTTTTAAATTAGTCCACATTATCACCACCACTTTGTTTAATTTTAATTTTTAAATTAGTTCATATTTGTTTCGGGTTTATTTTTTTCAAATTTAAAAATAAATAAAGTCTAAAAATAAAATTGAGCAGTATGAGAGTATGGACCTGTCACATAAGATGGGCCATGTCATTAGAGATAAAATTAACGGGACAAAATCTATATAATATTTATTTTTTATTTGTTTCAATTTTAAGTTAAGGCTTTTTTTGAATTGGTTTACATATTTATCAGTCCATATCCATAAATTAGTAGTTTTTACCAAAAACCTTATGTCTTGTTTGGTTGGTGATAAAGTGGGAGAAATAGTAAAAAAAAATTTGGGCAACTGTCATACAAATTTATCAGCCTCTTTTTTTTTTTTTTTTTTTTGGGATTTCCTTTGGCTAATCATTGATTACTGTGTAATTTCGAGTTTCTTTAGCTAATCATTAGTTATGGAATTCTATTTTTTATTGTTATTAGATTAAATGGAATAAGTTTTGTGGGGACATATTTTTAGGTAGTCCACGTGGCCAAGGTTGTTAGCCGAAGTGCCACGTAGACGGACTATGGTGCCGAGATATGGTGCGACAATACCGAAATTCGAGATATTTGGATAAAGGACTAGACTCCTAGATGACATCAAGCTACCTATTTGGATAGAGATGGGGCTCTTAAGGGAGTTCATCTTAATCTGAATAGTGTGAGTTGTGATAAATGTTATCCTTGTAAAGGATAGGGTCCCATGAAGTAAGACTTCTAGGGGAAGTTGGACACTGATCATTATAAAAGTAAGGCAACCTCGTGGGTCTAAGGTATGCTTTATTTGAGATGCTTTTATGCTTTCATTGTTGAAGTTTAAGTACTTGTATTGATATCTGGGAGAGATACGATTACTGACTTAATCGTTGGAGTGCCCCCGGGTGGATGAACCACCATGGTATTCTCATATTCTTGTTGGCAGGTGTTCAGGCTTAATCTATTCTGTCGGTGCTCTTCAGCAGAGTTCCCTGTTTGGTTGTGTGGTCGGAAATCAACACCCACAATTTGATGCCGTCTGTGGGAATTTAGTTAGAATAGATGGCCATCATCGTGCAAGATTAACATGTAGGCAACGACTAGTTTAGCGAAGATGGAGAATATGTCGACATTAACGGAATGAAGACCCTTCTAGAAGGGATGCAAAGATAGGGGGCATGAGCGGTCCAAAGGAGATGACTTTCAAGTATAAAAAGATCAGCCCAAGTAAGTAGATCCCAGATTTCAGATCCCGGATCCCAGATCCCAGAAGATAAGATCTCAGCCTAAATGATTAGGTCCGAGAAGACAAGAGCTTAGCTTAAGTGAGCAGATCCCGGATCCCAGATCCTAGAAGATAAGATCTCAGCCTAGATGATTAGGTCCGAGAAGACAAGAGCTCAGCCTAAATGAGCAGATCTCGGATTCCAGGTCCATATTATTATCATCACTTTCTTTAATTTTCTAAAAACTTTCTAGGATTTTTTTTACAAAAAGCTTTGTAAGATTTTCTAAAAAAAGTCCGCATTATCATCATCACTTTCTTTGATTTTTTAAAAACTTTCTAAGATTTTTTTACAAAAAAACTTTCTAAGATTTTCTAAAAAAAAGTCCACATTATCTATTTGAGTTTTATTTTTGTCAAATTTAAAAGTAAATATAGTCTAAAAATGAAATTAAACAGTGTGAGAGTATGGAACTATTTCACATGGAATGGACCACGTCATTAGAAATAGATTGACGGAACAAAATGAAATTAAACAGTGTGATTGTAATATTTATTTTTTGTTTGTTTCAATTTTGGGTTAAGGCTTTTTTTGAATTGGTTTACATATTTATCAGTCCATAAATTAGTAGTTTTTACCAAAAACCTTATGTCTTGTTTGGTTGGTGATAAAGTGGGAGAAATAGTAAAAAAAAATTTGGGCAACTGTCATAAATATTTATCAGCCTCAAAATTTTTTTTTTTTTTTTGGGATTTCCTTTGGCTAATCATTGATTATTGTGTAATTTTGAGTTTCTTTAGCTAATCATTAGTTATGGAATTCTATTTTTTTATTGTTATTAGGTTAAATGGAATAAGTTTTGTGGGGACATATTTTTAGGTAGTCCATGTGGCCGAGGTTGTTAGCCAAAGTGTCACGTGAGCGGACTATGGTGCCGAGATATGGTGCGATAATACCGAAATTCGAG